ATGTTTATTGTTCAAATACCGTTTGATGTTGTTCATTAGTCGGCATTATTATATTGTCGCTCCCTTGGATTATCCCAAATCCGCCTTCTTCCGATGCTCGTTCGCCGTCACTTTTTCTGCGGGGGTCATGGCACCGAATCGCGCCTCTTTTTATATTGTCCCGCGAAGTACCTTGGAGGGAATTTGTACCTGTGGTAAAATGTGATTTTTAAGGAGAGTTCTTGGTGTGTTCGCTATGTATTGTTACGCCTCGGAGTGCCCCGAAATTCTAGCGGTGGCTCTCCGAGGACGTGGAAAGGCTCGTAAGCGATTGATTAAGCATGTTGGCAGTACGTATCGCAGGAAACCCAAGGAACACTCTGCCCCGGACCGACCGTGACGTCACTGGTCTTATACTGTTCCTACGTCATTGGTTGAAAAAAAAACTGTAATTGGTGGTCACTCAAAGTCCCATTTTGTGGGAGTGCAGGAATTCAGTCTTGATGATGATTAAAGGGACCCTCCCACCTTCAAAAAAGTTAATGAATTGACATTAAAGTGATGTCCCTTGGTTCAGAAACAGCGAAAACGAATATCTACCAAATTTCACCGAAAAATATTCACTGGTTTTCAAGATATTAGGCTTTTACTTTTGTTTACTTTTTGGGATCTCTCCTGTTACTAGCGACTTTATTTGGAAGCAATAATTTGGCAGCCTTAAAGTGCGGCAGACGTTGCGCGCAAAGCAGCGTATACCACCACGTGTTAACGATGGTTTTAGTCTAAGATTTAAAAATCGTTAGATCTCCGCTGACGTCACAAATTCTAAGGGGGCATTCCAATGCATTAGCCCCTTAGAATCCGAAAACTGCAAGTTTGAAATTCCATATCTTCGAATTAAAGCATTTTTCGATGTTGTGAGTGCCCAAACCGGTATTTGCAGGCCATGGCCACCAATTTGGCAATCTCAACTCAAAACTAATGTTAAGGTGGGAGTGTCCCTTTAATGCACTTGTTTTGTTTACTCCCGGTCGCAAAATCTAACTATGTTGAAGATTTCTGAGCATAAAAATGCACGAGCACTCCGACAAGGCTACCAGGTCACTGTCTGGGGGCCAGTCCTCTCGACACCAGGAACGCTCGTGCGGTCGGTGCGGGGCAGAGTGTCAGCAGCAGCAGTGAGGTTCTTCAGTCCATCCATCCCCGCCACAAGTCCACAGCTCGGAGCCCAGCTCGGCCCTGGCTCCGTCCGACAGTCTGCCGCCCGCCCAGCCAGTTCACCCAGATCAGCTCAACCCATCCGGATCAGTCCATTTCAGCTCCGCTCAAACCCGCGCGCAGTCCAGTCCACAGCAGTCCAGTTCAGCTCAACCCCGCGCAGTCCGGTACCCAGAGCAGTTCAGTGTAGTTTGGCAGCTCTTTGCTTCGCCACTTGCCCCGGAGCGCCGCCAAGCGGTGACCGCAGTAACCACCCACCCGCCCGCCCATCCGATAGATGTCACTAGCAGCGCCATACCCCAGGTAGCCCCCATCCTCCAGGCCAGCGCGCAGTGCCGCGGTCCGCTCATATCCGGTTAGAACCAGCCATTTCCGGTTAGAATCAGCTATTTCCGGTAACAGCAGCTACCCATCCCAGCCCGGCCGGCCGCTTGCGCACGGCGGCTGTCTCTGTTCTTTTTCACTCTGCGCGTTCAGCAGCCACCGCCACCCAGCCACCATCCAGTTCAACCGCTCCAGTCCAGTTCAATTCAGATCAATCCGGTTCAGTCCAGTCCAGACCCGGCCTACAGCACGATTTGCCGCTCCGCGCCGCGCAGCCGGCAGGAGGCGCAAGTTCAGGGACGTTTTGTGATACCGGAAGGAGCGGCAAGCGCGAGCGAGGAAGCGCGAGCGGGGCGCGCGCTGCCCAGCGGACGGCGCGAGCCAGCGCGGGTCGGCGACTATTGTAGCGAGTGAGAGAGCGAGAGAGAGTGAGAGCGCGAGGCGCGTGCCGACGGCCGCACGCCGCTAGGTGGCGTCAGCGGCGCCGCCCAACGACGCGCGATAACTGTGATATTTTCCGCTTCGGCCGCGGGGCGGCGCGCCCGGCGGCCACAGTGGCGCCATCCGTTGGCGGCCGGCGGAACTTGTGCCTCCGGGCGCTGCCGCACCCGGTCGACTTGTTATGTTAATGCTAGAGGTCGCTCCATAGAGATCATCCGATCGCAAAAACACGTAAACAATAGGTTAAGCTCACTGCATGTCCCGGGCGCCGCGTGACGTCACGGCGATGGCCGACGCTGATTGGCTAACAGCCGCAACGCGCGCTTCCAATTGGCCGGCGCTGACGGAGGACTGCAGCGGGCGCCCGGTTCTCTCCGCCACCATTGGTCCGGCTCTTATGACGTCACGCAAGCGGGCGCGCCTGATTGGTGGGGTCGCCTCTGGGGCCGAGCCGGCCGCCGCGCGCGGCCCGGTGCTTCTCCTGTTCAACGAAACTCTCCCCGCTAGGTGGCGGTTCGGTTCGCCGCATTGTCGCCAGGTGTCGTCCGTCGCAAACTCTCCTGTGTGGGAGTCCAGTGTCTCATCCACGCTAGTTTAAGCCATAGTAATTAACTGCATTCAATAGCTCCGTATGTTGGCAGTGTCCGTGGTACAATAGGGTCGTAGCGATCTAGAACTGCCCGGCTGGCGATGCGCCGTCAACGGTCGGAGCCAGCAGACCGTTTCGCTGTCTGGCCACGAAAAATAGTCTGGTGCTGGTGTTTTGTTGAAACGACCCGTCTGTGGACTATTTTGTAATCTACCATAGCCACTGTTTGTCCTGTCAGCAATAGTTTATGCGCCGCGCTGATTCGCCGGCGTCCCGCTAGGGTCGCTAGTGTCGCAGCGCGGCCATATTAGGACGGGCTGTGTGGAACCCCCGGGTGACGGTCAGCAGGGGAGGGATGGTGTTGAGGTCCCGTGCTGTGCGTGTGCTCGACTGACACCCGGCGGTGCCACCACCCAACAACCAGAGGTCAAATCCAGGGCTGGCAGACGGGGGTTCGCCGCGTCAAGAACCCACGTGCACATTACACATCTCTGCAAAATTTAGAGCCAATTTCCGCTGAATTTCTGGCATACACTTCATCGAAAACATCGCTCAACAGCTCAAGTATAACTACGAAACATATTTTATCAAAATTTCTCGCGTCAAAATTACCAGGCGCAGGGCGCCCTGGGTTAGACCTCTATATCCACTAGCTACATGCCTGATAACGGGGATTGGCCAGCGCTCGTGCGATCTTCTCGTGCGTGGACGCGGCTGGTTCCGTTACCATAGTAACCAGTGCAGCAGCGCCGCCTGCCGGTCACATGTCTTTGCTGATCACGTGACCGCGGGCGTTGCGGCGGTGCTGGTCCGGTTTTGGGTTTCCCGTGAGGCGACCCTTGCTTTTCTGCAGTGTCCGTACCTTCTTGTGCCGGCCGGCGCGGACTCACCCTCTGTCTGTTTTGCTGCCGCGGCTGCAGATGGCGCAGCTATCGCGACAATAGATGGCAGCACGGGTGGGTCCGCGGCGGCCGCCGTTTTATATTGCCTCTGGTGATTCTGTCCTCGGTTATCCTATAGTACAGTAATGGCTTCAAATAAACAGTTTCCCTCGGATACGGACTGGTTTGAGGATGAAGACGTGGTATGATAACGTGATTGCAGTGTAGAAGTGTGTGTGACCTTCTCACAAGCAGAGGTCAATAGGACAACTCCAAGGACTTTTGGACGAACGACACCGGGCATAGGTGCTGGGTCTAGTAGACCCAGAACACAAATGATCAACTCGAAACACATCAAGTTCATGCGTATAACTTGGTCAAGACGACGGGAACAAGTAGCGTAGTTGAGCCTTCAGGATTCCCACGCATAGAGCTCGACAGTCGGCACATACCTACCTTGGTCAATGGCAATGACATTTCAGCATAAAAGGCAATCACTTGACATCAATGAGCGAAGGAAAAGACGAGCGCAACACAGAAAGTTCAGAAAAAAAGTTTAGTTTAGAAAGTCGTTCTTCAGAAAGTCAGTCAGTCAGTAGGTATCAGTATCAGAGTATTTAAACCTTCCACAAGGTGGCTTTTACGGTTTAGCGTCAGTACCTACAATATACAAAGATAAACGAGTAAGAGACAAGTAAAAGCATACAATGTAAATTAAGAACGAATTAAAACTGATTACAAAATGATAGACATATACATCAGAGCGCACTCGATAAGATAATCAGGCACTTCCAATGATAGCTTTAAAAGTTGCCATCGAGGGACGAGGGGCATGACATGAGGCGGGATAAGTTTATGTGCAAGGAAAGAGAGGGAGCAACACAAGGGCACAAGGTCACATTGGTCAGTGGGCGCGACAGGGGTGCAGAAATAGACTGCTACAACTCATAGTCTCTAACGTTGTCGGTGTGTCTGACCACAGAACTAACTTTTTAAGTACCTATCATACAGAGGGATGACTCTTCAGGATCTCAAAACATAGTCATACAGCTTACAAGCGCAATTCTGAGGCATCAGCCTCAGAATTAGAGCTATGCTCCTTGTGGATCTTAACATTTCCTAAAAACGTACGATATGATTAATCAAGTGATCAGACGAAAATATATCTTAAATCTATGATCTCATACGCTTTTGTAACAACCAAAGGACAAGGATCTGGGATCTGTGTGGATCTCACTACATGCGGACTGTAAAAATACACTTCGTATTTACCCGAAAATAGTTGTATGCAATTTAAAGCAACGAAAATTTATTAGATCGCCTTCGGAATGACACCTATCTTCAGATAATCTAGGAATATGTAAGTCAAAGAGCACACCCAACACATTATCTGCCCAGCATTGAAACTTCAAATCTCACAAACAATGATCTTATGACAACATCAAGGCATCGTTTCACTCAAATTACACTCAAAGCCGCACATCCAACCACACAACAAAGCACACCCGCCCCGCCGCGGGTTCGAATCCCGCCGGCGGCCGCGCTTTACATCCGCCTCCGTTCGGCAGCAGTCGGTGGACACGCCGGCTCAGCTGTGCCAGCCGGAGCTGCTGTCGGAGGAGGCGTCCAGCCACGACCCGCAGCTACAGGCGGCGCTCAGCACCGTCGGCGTCACACCCCAGGGCATGGGTGAGTGGACCATGAAGCCACACGCATTGTTATGATTTGCTCTGTGCCCTGTGACCTGAAGGTTAGGCATGTGGCCTGTAGATTGTATGCGCCAGGTTTATTGTGTGGGTTGGGTAGAGGTTCGATTTGGTTCATGACCGCTCATAGTACCGGCTATTTATGGCTAGGGGTTTGGAGGGTTTGATGAGGTTGTAGAAAAGCTGTTTACCGCCTACGCAGTGCACCAGCATATCGACGGGGCCACGTTCCGGTCATCAGGCTCCACCATCGATGTGATCGCAACGAATCGTGGTGTTGAGCGGGCCGGGACGCTGCACTGTCACTACAGTCCTCACAACTGGTGCCGTGCAGTGGTGCCGACCCCGGGCCGCCGACCGGAGCGGTGCACTCTGACAGGACGGAGCTGGCGCAAACTGGACACCGCCGAGGCGAGCCGCCGCCTGTGGGCTGTGGACTGGAGCCCTGTGTACCGCAGTGCTGACCCGGGCGAGCAGTGGGACTATTTTATCGCGGTGACTATGCCCATTATTGACAGTCTGGCCCCGGCCAGACGGTTCCGAGTGCGTAACCCGACGGCGCCCCCAGTGACGGAAGCCACAAAGGACCTAATGGCCCGGCGACGGGCGGCGCTACGTGCCTCAGATCGTGCCTTGTATAAGGAACTGAACCGGCAGGTTAGGTCGGCCGTCCGCCGTGACACGCGAGAGGAGATCGACCGGCGCGTGCGGGAGAGCGGGCCGAGCTCCTTGTGGCGCAGTGTCCGGCCGGTCATCGCGGGGAAGCGGACGACCAAACCTTCACCGGACGCAGACACGGACGCAGTGAACCAGTACTTCGCCAGTATTGGGACCGCCACGGCCCGACGGGTGGACTCCGCGGGGCCCGAGCTGGCGGTGCGGCTGCCGCGCGTTTCCACCGGCCGTTTCCAGGTGGCACCCGTTACACCGGAACAACTGTCGCGTGTCGTTGGTAGGATGGCCAGCAGTACATCGTGTGGCGCTGACGGACTATGTATGCGTTTTATCAAACAGTGTTTTGGCTCCATCTATCCCGTCATCACCCACATCGTCAACTCCAGCATCACCAGTCACAGCGTCCCTAGCTCATGGAAATTAGCCTTGATCCATCCCATCCAGAAATCACCCAAATCCACAGACGTAACCAACTTCCGCCCCATATCAATCCTTCCCACCATCGCCAAAATCACTGAACGAGTCGTTTACGAGCAGCTTTTTACCTATTTCACCTGTCATTATTTATTCTCGTCTAGTCAGCACGGTTTTAGGACGAACCATTCTACCGACACCGCACTTTTAGATGTTACAGACCGAGTGTTTGAGGCTATGGACCGTAAGGAAATCACACTATTGTGTCTTTTAGATCTGTCCAAATGCTTTGACGTCGTACCGCACGCCGGACTTTTACGTAAACTCGAACTGTACAATGTCGACACGCGCTGGTTTGAGAGTTATTTGGCCGACCACCAGCAGCAGGTGGTAGCTGAGAGCCACTCTGGCTCTCGAACTCTGTCGGCGGCGCTGCCGAATCCCATCGGCACCTATCAGGGGACATCGCTCGGACCGCTCTTGTACAGCATCTATGCTAATGATATGTCGCTATTCGTTGATGACGCGAGCATCGTGCAGTACGCGGACGACACTCAGGTTCTCGTGGGCGGGAGGCCCGGAGACATTGGCGCCCTGATCGGATCCATGGAACGAAATTTGTCACTGCTCTCGAACTGGTTTGGCAAAAATGGTATGAAAATCAACGCTCAGAAAACTCAGCTCATTGTTCTCGGCACTCGTCAAAATCTCCGGCAGCTTCCAACAGTCAGCATCAACTTTATGGGCGCCACTGTCTCCGGCTCTCCCGCGGTGCGGAATCTGGGTGTCGTATTTGACCAATGTATGTCGTTTGCCGCCCATACCGATGATGTCGTCCGGCGCTGCACAGGTATTTTAATCGGATTGAGTCACTCTAGACATATTTTACCGCATTCGACGCTCACCACCCTAGTCCAAAGTCTAGTCATTTCGCTCATCCGCTATTGTATCAGTGTGTACGGCTCCTGCAATACCACTCAGCTCGCACGTCTGCAAAAACTGCTGAATTTCTCAGCCCGTGTGATATCGGGGCGTCGGAAGTTTCATCATGTTAGTGACGTCCTGCGTGACCTGGGATGGCTGTCCGCGCGTAACATGTACTTATACCATGTGCTGACCCTATTGAAACGTATGCTGGTCACTGCGCAGCCCGAGTCAATCGCGAGTAGAATAGTGCATAGACGTGACGTACATCAGCGAGCCACAAGACAGATAGATATGCTACATGTGCCCAGAATCAAATCGGAGTCCGGGAGGAGACGATTCCTCTTTACCGCCGTGACAGCTTTTAATAGCCTACCACCGGCGATGTGTGACCTGAACCTGCGCGCGTTCAAGGCAGAGTTGCGCCGGCACTTATTGCGACAACAGGCGGCCGACCGTTAGCAATACTTCATGACGACACGTTTGTGAGAGAGTGACTGCGAATGAATGTCTGTCTGTGTGCGTGCGTGCGTATGTTTTTCCCACGACACCCATCATTTTATATTGCGACCCTGGTTCAGGAATAGCCATTTTTGTGGAATGAGCCTACGATGTCAAATAAATAATAAATAAATAATAAATAAGTCAATGTGTCAAACCTGAGACCTCTGTCGACCCTGAAGTCAATGCATATGAGTTATCAGATATGCACACTTTTTGTGCTCCTATTAATGTGCAAAATATTTTTATATCGATGTAGCTACCCACCATTTTCAGCTGCCATGCCTGCATTTGCAAATTTTCTTTATATTACGAGTCACCCTTACTTCAGCACCAAACCAAACCCCAACCCCATGACCTCAGATCATGACCATGACCTCAGTGGCCAAACCCCATGACCTCAGGCCATGACGCTGCTCCCCCGTCTGCCGGCAGCGATGACGCCGTCCCAGCGGGACGCCATGCAGCAGCAGATGCAGATGCTCCAGGAGTATATGATGCCCATGCTGAACAACCTCAGCATGGGGCTCACCATGCCGGCGCCGGGGGTGAGTTCTTACTTTTGAGAAACTCGTTTGAGAGTGAACCCCCGCAGCATAAGAAACATCGCCTTGTCATCAATGAGCTCCAAGTCATTCAGTGACTTCACCATGGGTCTGAATAAGTCGGCACCTGAACATGCAGGTGTATCTAAGCACTTCACCATCCTCGCTATGGCTCAAAACATGACATGAGGACGGGTCCTGTGCCCCAGGAGGTTTTAACCAGCTCACACGCCACGACGCATTTTGCTGAAATCTGCCAGCTTCCATGCAAAACACTGATACTTGCGTGGATCTTTTTTTCAAATAAATTGGGAGAACGAAGAATTCCCCAACCACCTGATTCCCTCCCAGTCAGGATAACCTACATAACACACACACCCTCCCCCCCTCCCCGGTCGTCATCCCGTCATCAGGTGGACGTCATCAGCAACACCCCACAGCTGGCCAAGACGACCATGTCCGGTCTGAGCTGTAACGTCTGCGCCATGATCATGCCCGATCTGCCCACCCTGGAGCAGCACCTGCGGATCCATGAGGAGGAGAAGCCCTACAAGTGTCTCCAGTGCGGACAGAGGTCAGTCAAAGTGTCTCCAGTGTGGACAGCTCCTAGGTCAGTCAAAGTGTCTCCAGTGTAGACAGAGGTCAGTGTGTCTCCAGTGTGGACAGAGGTCAGTCAGTGTCTCCAGTGCGGATAAAGGTCAGTTGAAGTGTCTCCAGTGCGGACAGAGGTCAGCCAGTGTCTCCAGTGCGGATAAAGGTCAGTCGAAGTGTTTCCAGTGTGGACAGAGGTCAGTCAGTGTCTCCAGTGTGGACAGAGGTCAGTCGTGTCTCCAGTGCGGGCAGAGGTCAGTCAGTGTCTCCAGTGCGGGCAGAGGTCAGTCAGTGTCTCCAGTGCGGGCAGAGGTCAGTCAGTGTCTCCAGTGCGGACAGAGGTCAGTCAAAGTGTCTCCAGTGTGGACAGATGTGATCATATTGTCTAAAATGTCTCCAGTGCAAAGACAGAGATCAGTCGAGACAGGACTATACAGTGAAACAGCTTGGATACCACTCATGCCAACGGAGAAATGGCCGGGTGCGGTTACGGCTGGGCCAAAAAAGTCGCACACGAAATTCGCTAGCCATGCGAAAAAGATCAGCTACCCTGTATGCAATCCATCCCGCTTGAGCTCCTTATGACCATGAGTTGAGCTTACGACTATGACTATGAATTATATGACACCTCTACATTTCCCTCTACCTAACCCCTCGTCCCCGTTTTCAGGTACAAGTACCAGTCGGCCTACCAGCGTCATATCGACATGAACCACACGGCCCGACTGCCCCAGGAGAAGCCCTACCGCTGCGAGGTCTGCGGACAGTTCTTCAAGTACCTCAAGAGCTTCCACAAACACCGAGCCAATCATAGTGTGAGTTATTTTATTTGTTCATAATCTCACAAATGAGAGAGATTGAACGAACATGGGCCACTTGTTGCCACTATACCATGCATTTATGCTGCCATGGGACAACTTCGAGAAGAATCTGGCTGTCATTTTAAACTAAAAGCATTGGGAGCTATACGGCGTATATTTCATGAGGTCGCCCATTTTTGCCCAACAGGCCATAGACCGTATTCTGAACACTAGCGACGACAGCGCCACCGGTGGCATGGCGGAGTTCCCGCGAACTAGCGTTGGGATGGCGCCACCTCCGCCCACGGTACCTCAGGTGAGTGGTAAATGCGGCGAAATCACCCAGAACTTGTGCAGCCGTATCACTGATGAACGATTCCTGATGGTGGAGGAAAATCGCAGATGATATGCCTGACAAACTCTTAAATTTAGTATAAAAAAGAATAACAGTGCAAGGTTCATGAGAATGAGATGCCTCTGTTCTCATTGTGTCGTATTATGATCATATATGTGATGTCGTTGCCCTTTCATGTCCGTGTAGCATATCGACTTGCTATCCCGAGCCTTCCTTTGACCTGTACCTCTCTGAACTTTGACCTCCCTCCTCTGACCTGTCAGCTGCAGGTACCCAGTATAGTGGCGGCGTCTTGCGACCTGTCCCTCTCTCATATCTGACCACCGACCTGTGATCCCTCTCAGCTACAATTGCCCGGTCCAGCCCCGTGACCTATACCCCTCGCCTATCTGACGTCTATTCTCTATCAGCTAGAGGTGCCCGGTACAGCTCTGCCCGGTTATCCCCCCCCCCCCGTGACCTGTACCCCTCGCCATCTGACGTCTATTCTCTGTCAGCTGCAGATACCCGGTCCAGCGGCGTCCTGTCTGACGCCAGAGACCATGGACGCCACCTACCGGGCCCACCAGGCGGCCCCGGTACCCCCGCCACCGGCACCCCCGCCACCGCCACCGCCACCCCCGGTGCTAGCGGTACCCAGACAGCTTATCAGCGACAATAAGGTAACGGGTCGGTGTGTGGCCATGGAATACATAAGGCAAAATTGAATCCTTAGTGCGACGAGCCTAAAGGTGAAGACGAACTCGACGAACTTGCGATTATATTTATGTTTGATTCGAAATCTTTCTTTAAACCTTTCTCTATCTTAAGCAAGTAACAGCGAGGTGTATGGGGTAGATGACAAGAAAATATTGTGGTCAAGGCATCACGATGCGCAAAAAATTGTTTTAATTTCATAATTACATCAATCTTTATTTTAAAAAATAATTGCCTTCACATTAGCCCCACATCCTTAACCGTCCCACGCATTCCCTCTCCCTCAGGGTCTGTCGCTGAAGGAAGTGAAGGAGGAGTCCAACAGCATCACCATCACCGCCATCAAGACGGAGAGGCCGGACACGCCGCCTGCGGGAGGGTCCCACGAGCCCCAGGGCGCTCCGACGGACCCGGAGGGTCTGGAGCACGCCGCCGCAATGCAGGGTGGGTATGGGAGGGGGAGGGTTGTAAGGATAGCGGGTAGGCGGGGAGGAAGGGGAGGCGGGGGGTCGCAAGGGTGGGTAGGCTGAGGAGAAGGGTTGCCAGGATGGGCGGGTGGAGGGGGAAGGGTTCCCGGGGTGAGTAAGCAGACTGATGAGACGGGTCGTAGAGGTAGTGCTTGGGAGAGACAAAGGTGTGGACGGCAGGTGATTGCGGATTTGCTGAAGAAGATGTAGTTCGTACCCGATCATCTTGCCTGTATACCAGGCGTTGAATGTATAGCAGGTGCTGTGATACACGTAAGACAATGAGCTTTGGCGTAATAGGGTATTGGAATCAGCAAATATCGTTGGTCCCTCATGGTGAAGTTCTTCCGCGTTACTTTACTCAAATTTATATTCTACCATAACCGCCTTTTCGCCCATTCTAGGTACTGACTCGCAGACTTTAGACGCGTCTCAGGGCGGTGAAAAGAGCTGGATCTGTCCCTACTGTCTGAAGGGCTTCAAGGGAAAGGAGAATCTCAAACTACACATACGAACTCACACAGGTGAGAAAGCGGCCAGTAAATTTGTGCTTTTATTGCGCGTAAAACGCTAGGTAAGATTCACGTAACGTCTTTACAACTCACCTAAAAATTAAAAGGCTGCTGATAAAACAATACTGTCTTAGCGCAACGTGTTATTTAGAAATTTCCTTGGGAAATATGTAAGCATGCGTGCGTTCCTCTTTAGCTCACAAACGTTTATATCACTGATTGCTTCATTCGGGTTAAATTTCCGGTAGGGACGTCAAAAGTAAGAAAAGAAAAAATATTTTGTGAAATTTGCCTCTTCCCTGTAAGTACATGTGTGAACACTGGCGGATCCAGGGGGGGGGGCACGGGGGCCATGCCCCCCCCCCCCAAAGGCCTAAAGTGGCCGGTTTGCCCCCCCCCCAAAACGTCCGAAAAAAATGCTAAGAAAATATACCTTGATGGAGGTTTTTAGCCACTTGGTGAAGTAAAGCTTTCCACAGCATAATATGGAAGCAATATGGTAGCAGTGAGGGTCAGTCAAAAGTTGCGCGAGAGGAGTCGACCTTAAAAAAAGACTGTTGTTGGCACGTGTTTATGGCGCGGCAGCTGGTAGTTGGCGGTGTTTCGCGTGGTGTGGCATCACTGGCCGATCCAGGGGGGGGGGGGGGGGCACGGGAGCCTGAGGTGCCCCTGACAGGTCCATGGTGCCCTTGCTAGGCCTGTGGTGCCCCTGGACCCTGGCAGGCCTGTGGTGGCTCTGGCGGGCCTAGGGTGCCCCTGCTAGGCTGCTGATGCCCCTGGGACCTGACAGGACTGCGGTGCCCCTGACAAGCCTAAAGCGCCCCCAACAGGCCCGTGATGTCCCCGACAGGCCCAAGGTGCCCCTGCGTGATGCCGTGATGCCTGTGAGGCCGGCAGGGCCCCTGGCAGGACCATGGTGCCTCTGCGAGGCCGGTGGTGCCCCTGGCAGGTCTGTGGTGTCCCTGACAGACCTGGGGTGCCCCTGACAAGCCTGTGGGCCCCTCACAGGCCCGTGGTGCCCTTGCTAGGCCTGTGGTGCCCCTGGCGGGCTGGTGGTGCCCCTGCTAGGCCGGTGGTGCCCCTGACAGGCACCACCCGGGCACCAAGGGGGGTCATGACCCATGTGGCCCCCCTTGGATCTGCCACTGATACATAATATATTGATTTGTAAAGGCTAGACCGGTGATGCCCCTGGCAGGCCTGTGGTGCCCCTGCTAGGCCCCTGGTGCCCCTGGGCCCTGACAGGACTGTGGTGCCCCTGCTAGGCCTCTGGTGCCCCTGCAAGGCCGGTGGTGCCCCTGTAAGGCCTGTGGTACCCCTGCTAGGCCTCTGGTGCCCCTAACAGGCCCATGGTGCCCCTGCGAGGCCGGTGGTGCCCCTGGCAGGTCTCTGGTGTCCCTGACAGACCTGGGGTGTCCCTGACAAGCCTGTGGGACCCGTCACAGGCCCTTGGTGCCCTTGCTAGGCCTGTGGTGCCCCTGGCGGGCTGGTGGTGCTCCTGCTAGGCCGGTGGTGCCCCTGCTTGGCCGGTGGTGCCCCCGGGCACCAAGGGGGGTCATGTGCGTGGCCCAGGAGCCGAGTTAGACTGGGGGTGTTTTACCACCTCCCGGCCCGCAAAGGGACCCAAGAACTGACTCGAAGCGGGTTAACTGGTCGACAAAAGCAATGGTAAGTGTTCACAAAGTAATATAAAGGCATGGGTCGGGTGGACTACCATTTATATATTTTTCTTTTTAGTTAAAAAAATTAATAGTGTCAGAGCTGTGACGAAAAATAAGTGGCCTAAATCCGATGAGAAAACAGGATTTGGGGGTACCCTAGGTTTGGCTCCGCATGAGTTGCCCCCCCCCCCAAAACGCAAGCCTGGATCCGCCAGTGTGTGTGAAAGCAACAAAGTGTAACATATGGCTTAGATACATCTATTGTGTTATCGCAGGGGAAAAACCATACGAATGCGGGATGTGTGATAAGAAGTTCGTTGGGAAATCCGATCTCAACAGGCACCTGCGCGTACATACGGGTGAGGGACCAACGACAACAAAATAAAAATTACTAAATCCAAACCTCTTCTGGCATTTGATAGGCCAATGAACAGTATGCTATCTGACTTCAATTTCCAATGCCTTTACGACTATGTTTTTCTACTGTTAGGCACTGTGTATCAATAACAAACGCCAGAAGGCCCTGTCTCCGTTCCTACAGGAACAGATCCTTCCACCCTCTTATCTGTTATCACTCTGAGTACGATGTTAAAGCCCATCATACCTCTGATGATGTTACCGAGCCTCGTTCTGCCTGCTGTTTTCACAGGCGAGAAGCCTTACGAGTGTAACGTCTGTTTCCGGCGGTTCGCTCGCGGTGACTACCTCTCCAAGCACATGGTGACCCACAGTCAGGGGAGCAGTCCTCAGCCGGGTGATGAGTTCGCCGGGTCACCGCCAGACGGCAGCACCGCAGCCGAGGTCGGTGGCGTCAGGCGGTCTGTGCTACACCCAATGCCAAGGGGCGACCTGATGGTTCAGCGGCCTCATTTGATTCACATTTAATTGTTGATTGATGATGTATGGAGATGGTGTATGATGGTGCATGATGTATGTAATATGTATGCTGTGCAAATTCAATCATAAATTAGGTATAGAATGTAACACGTGGGCGGTGGGCTATTCATTTTATATGCCCGTTTGGTATGTAAAATTGCTAACCTAGTTTTCACTGAGCAATGACACTATTTAAGCAAATAAAATCAAAGACGACATGAAAGCAGATAATATGTAAAAAGGCCTCTTCTCAAAATGCTGAGGGTACAGCCCTGTCATGCATGTCTCATGTCATGTCAAGTATCTTCATCAAGCATCCTCATACCAGTCCATATTTTCGCAGGCGCACGGCGTGGACAGCAGCGACCCCTCGGGGGTCACCGGACCTCAATGACGTGGCACGGCACAGCCAATCACATAGCGCGCTCAGGGAAACCAGCCAATCGCAATCTCCGGCATCAGGGAGTCAGCCAATCGGCGTCGCCGTCTACTAGCCAACAACCAATCAAAATGAGCCACGCGCGCAAGGGATGACAAACGCTTGAAGATACCGTGGAATGCTCGATGATGTTTGTGAATAATTGCTGAGTGATAGAATCACCAGATAGGAAAAACGGCAAACTTTTGCCATAGTGAGAAGAGATGAAAGTGAAGTGAGACGATAAAATGTGACGTGACGTCACATATCGATAAACAATTGTGTAGACAAGAGGCACGCGGTGGTGGATGGTCAAGATTTAGACAACTGCGAGAGATACGCTTCGAACTGTAAGCAGCTTTGGTGATAGAAAGAACAATCGCACAGTCATGACATATGTGGTCAGATCTCCTTTGGACGCTTTGAGCGAATATTTGGACGCTATGAGCGGTGCTTTAGAATTGGCACTTACGAACGCTGGCAAAGCGTGAACGGTGATTGGACGTTAGTGATGACGTCACCCAGTGATGAACGCCACCTGGTGGCAGGTGTGGGAAAATACCCTCGGGCGATGAACGTCGTAACATCCAAAAAGCTGTTATTTTGCTTGTTGCGAGTGTTTCTTCGTGAATCGGTTTCACAGGCTAGATGCAAGTGATTGGCAGGTCTGTTTGTCCCTGTATAGTTGTGGGAGTAATGTAGAGTTAGGTAGTCAATTTTTGTTGTCATGAGTGGCTCAGCGACCTTATTTGTAAAAGCACTCCACAGGTCAGAGCTTGCTGACGTCTCAGGCGATGTCATTATCCAGCTTTATACTCGGGCTACTCGGACTTCATTCCTTTTTTAAAGCAGGTTTAATTTGATTCAGGCGATGTTTAGTATCAGCATAGTTGTCAGTACGAATAATTAATTACCAGAACACGAAAATAAGTTATTTAAGATGCTGCTCCTACACATTCAGTGCTCCAAAGATTCCTTCGATGAGCAATATAGGGTCCATTGAAAATTAAATCTGTTCAATTTTCACTAGTGCTTATACCGGATCTATGTCACACGCTTTTAAACACAGTTGCAATATTCGAAACATGTACCTCGTCATTTTTCACCAGTGTCAATGAGAGCCCCTTAATTAAGGGACAACCTTTCTACTACCTCAGACATACATGTAAAAAGTCAATTAATTACCTAATTACCTCCCTCTTGTACAACAGTCAACACACTTGCTGAAGCAGTTCTCTCCGCTGAGCTCTGAGAGGAACTACGAGCATTACCTCTTGACCATTTTGCTGGATTTACTGGTTTCGCATTCACTCTTCGACGACGGCACCACATAACACTTTTCGTTGCTAATGTGCACCCGTTCTGGAAGAACACTGCCTAAAAGAATATTCATAGGTTCACCAACGCAAACACTTCCAGCGTGAAATTAAATGAGTAGGTACATCCCAACTTCAAAGGAAATCCCAGCATTCAACGCAAACGTGTCAGTGTCAATATACCTCAATAGTTTCACAATGAAACTCAGTCAGAGCGCGATTGCAATAGTTCTCAGACACATGCTAACTGAACTAACTGATGTATTGCCTCCTAATATGAGATCACAGCTAACCTTGTGCCATTATTTCAAGCAATCAAACCGATCCGATCTCGTTTGATTTTGCACACAGTGCTTTGTCACATTTAATTCATGTAGGTGATGTTTAATATGTCTATGTTTCCCTAGGAATAATTGGGGTCCAACTACCGTTCATTGTTGATTCTCACTACGTTGTGAGCATTTCATGTTACTGTAGGAAGATATCTCGTTAGTGTAGACGAATGATAGTGCTCTTTGGGTTGTGACAGTTTTTTTCTTTTTTGTTTAGTACGGTGTCGGGACTCGGGACTTTAATATAAGGCCATAGCCATGCTGCTTCAATGTATTACTACCATGCACTTATCGTCACTTAGCGAAAGCCAAAGTAGCTGTCATCGCTTTGCAGCATCTTTAGACGCTCTTCTCGGTGACTTAATTGTTTTGTTCTCTGGAATCAAGCTAGTGAAACCCGTATAAAGCCCTCATATGTTCAACCATATAGCAAACTTCTGTATGAATTCGTTATGCTTTTTCGACTGAACCCTCACCAGCTGCAATACTCTTACCCTCATTGGCGACACTATCCATATTTTTGCAGTGTCTGTCAATTAAGTTTCCTCTTTTCTAGTTAACGTGTTCTTATGTATGTATTGGCATCACGCTGCATCGTTTCTTATTTCACCGTTTTGCTCTTGCAACCAATCGCGTTTCTATTTCCCAAATAGTCGGGAAAAAAGACTTACAGATTCCTGAAAACCTCATAACGTTATTACATGGCATTGGTTATAATGTTTCCTAAACTTATTACAAGAGCATTAATATTTCAGTAGGCCTACTAGCAACACTGATCATTTGGAACAGGATGACCGATGAATTGCCGTCTTGTCAGCATCTCAGTGCTACCCTGAAACCTCACATAGCTGGTAATTTTACATAGTACCATGTTCACCGAATCCCTACCTCATCAACTCAGCAAATCATCACAGTCAGCTGCACGGGACGTTGGATATGTATAAATAGGTGTTTGCGCAACATCGCACGTGTTTATGCACGTGCCTGCGCAACAATACGTGATGAACCACGTGATGCGCAGCACGATGCGTTTAGGTAATTAAACGTTTACGCGGCATCGTGTTACGTCATGTGTATGCGCACTGTGCAGCATTGCGCGTGTAGCAAACTGTTGGTTATGTGCAGCATTACGCGTGCATAATCGTGCGCTCGATATGCGTCAAGTATGTTGCATGCTAGGCTGATGCATATGTTATCCATTATGCAATGTACGATTGAAACCCGATGGTTTAGGTGTTAGTGGTATATCTGTGTTCTGCATGCCTCCTTGACATGAGACACATGCGGCATGCATTTCAGAGAAAACATTCACCATGTGCGCGAACTGTGTGTCGCAACCCAGTGAATGTGCACTTGGGTTTTCACATCGTATTTTGTGTACACGACACGTGCATGTGAAAAAAAGGCGCGCGCGTTGCGCAGCCATGCGCGTCGTTCGCCACTCGTTGTAAACGTAAACTGTGTCGTTCGTGTGGAGCACGAGTGACGTATTTGTTAAATGTAGTGTAATCAATGCCAACTGCCCTGCCAGAATAGCTCCGTAAAGAGAAAAAATGCAGAGAAAATCAAATGAAAACGCTGGTAAATCTGGATGACCATCCCATTTTTATTATTAGCCCTGGCTACTGTTACGACATAACAGGATCATAGTCACTTACATTGCAATGTTTTGGCAATGTCAACAGTGATGTGTTTGCACTCATCAAATGTGCTAAGCCTATCCAAGTGACTGCCAAAGGTGTTCCTTTTCTTAATGGTAACGCAGCTGGATAAGGTTAGATTCCAGAGTCACCTCACTGTTAAGGAGTTCACCAGATGCGTGTGTCGTCCTATCATAGATGTATTTTTGGGAAAATACACGGTACGCCATTTCCCCCTTGTTTGAGCTTTAGTTTAGTCACGGTATCTTTTGCCCATATACCACAATGTGTCACTGTTTCTCGTCCTGATATTGTTGAATATTTGTTAGCGACCTTTTCCTCAAATAAAGAAAGGTTTAACCCTCGCATGTGTAGGGGGGGGGGTCGGATGGACCCCCCCCCCATGGTTTTTCGCGAATAACTCGCGTAAAAAGCGGCCGATCGCGACGAAACTTTCAGTACCCTCCCATTGATCAATTTTACACCTACCCTGAAAATTTCATGACCCTGACCCAAATGACCTTTGACCTGTGACCTCTTTTCCGAGACCATGTTTGGCCGGGATCGCGATTCTGCGTATGTCGGCTCGCATTAGCCGCGCGTTTGCAAGCTTTTCGAGGTTTCAAACGTTCAAACATGTGATTTGATGTTGCTTCCATGCATTAGGGTGGGTGTCAAGGTCACCTGAAGGTCAGGTCAGATCATTGACCTTTGGTGACCTCGGGTGACCTCGGTTCACTTTTTCGAGCTGTACATGTTTCTAGGCTAGTTTTTGGAGCTGAATTCGAATTTAGCAACCATTTGAACATTTACGAAGTAGTTTTGGTGCCTTCGTAACATGTTACGAAGCTGTCAGAGGCGGTTGACACGTACTACGAATACCCGTCACGACGCCTACTGGTTGACCTGACCTGACCTGACCCGACCTGGTCTAAATGCTTAAAGACATCATCTGTGATCAAAACTAACACGATATTCGTGATCAGCACCCCGAAAAACCCCTTAGCAGCCACACTTTACGACTTTCTAACAGGTCCCGATTTTCCCGACTTTGGGTCATTGACCTGACCTGGAAGGTCAACCAATGACCTAGGACCTTAAAATTGGGTATCATCGGCTTCCTCTCGTGACGGGCAACATGCTCGTTTTTTCCGCGAAGCTCTAGCTCGATCAGGGGCCAAACGGCAAGGGGGGGGGGTCCAACCGACCCCCCCCCCCTACACATTAGAAGCTGGCAAACGCCGCACACATGCGAGGGTTAAAAGTGGAAAGTGGTATATTCTATAGTTAGTGAATCGCCATATCGCTACAAGATGTTCAACGTGAGAGCACTCAACAACATGCTTCTCTTCCCACTCAACAGTGCTAAGGCTTTTCGAGCCTCATCCCTTATTGCAACACCCATGCGACTTCCTTCCGTTGCTTATTTCTATTCAGACACATAACCCGCCAGGATAATCCTCAGCAGTGTCCACTCTCGCTTGTTTCATCTCCCACCCAAAAGCGATCTCTCCCTATCGCCAAGCAGAGGTAACTATGATCCCTCCTTTCCCCTCCCCCAGGGTACTCCACAGCCGAGTGACCTTTCATTTCCCTATCGCCGGTCACTCGGGCCGAGAAAGGCGGCACCGTCGACGGCATGACCTTCAGGAAGTGGTCGGTGGCGGGGCACATGTCGACACGCCATC